AGAAAATGGGGGGCAGCCGCATGCATCATGGACGTACGGGCGACGTCCATGACCATTTTTCTGTGGAGAGTCCGGAAGCGTGAAGGTCTGGCGGACGCCTCGTGCACGACAGTAGGCTCGCAGAAGGCCAGAGGAGAACTCTCCACCTCTGTCAGAGTGCAGACGCAGAACAGGAAAGTCCGAGCCGAAGCTCTGCCTGAGCTGGAGACGAGCTGCGCGGATCCAGTCGATCAACACCTCAGTGACATCACCCTTGCTGCGCAAGGGGAAGACTGTGGTGTAACGCGAGTAGTCGTCAACCACCAGCAGGAAGTAGCGCTCGTGACCCTGTCCACGGACGCGGGCCGGGCCCCACACGTCCATGTGAAGCGTCTGCAGCGGGGCCTCTGTCGGAGGAAACTGGGAGGAGTGAGGGGCAGCCCGCTGCCGCCCCTCGATACAGGGGACGCAGGTAGGGCCAGGCCCCGGAGGAAGGGGAGGGAGGGACCGGGGAAGACCAGAGACAAGGACACGGGAGGCCATGCCTCGGAGACGAAGCAGGGAGGGGTGACCAAGGCGGTGGTGCCAGAGGAGAGTCTCGTGAGACAGGAGGCGACACGAACAGGGGGCAGACTCAGGACCAGACCTGGACGCTGCAGCAAACACCTGACCTGACGCAGCTACCTGACCAGACGCAGTGACCGGAGGAGACGTAGTGGTCAGTGTGTACAGGCTCGACCCCGGCCGACGTGTAAACGTGGCCAGGTGTCGGCCTGTCCGAGTGTCCGTGCAGTGGGTCACCCGCTGACTCGCAGGAGTGAACTGGTGAACCCCCGCATCCTGTAGGTCAGCACCACTCACCAAGTTCGTAGAGAACGAGGGGAGGTAAAGACCAGACAGGGTGCCAGAGGGGGCCGCCGGACACGGGAGGACAGTGGAGAAGTGAGCAAGGACAGGACCCCCAGAGGGGTCTGCCAGAGAGACTGCAACTGGCCGGCCAAGCGGCGTGAGTGTGGTGCGGTCTCGAAAGAAGGAGCGAGAAGCCCCCGAGTCAAGGGTGAAGGTGTGGGAGGCCGAAGCCGACGCAGAACCTGAGAGAGCAGACTCACCAGCACCTGAGGGAGCAGACGCACCTAGAGCAGCAGCCTCGCTAGCACCTAGAGCAGCAGCCTCACCAGTACCTAGAGCAGCAGTCTCAATGCCCGGGTCGGGCGGAAAACACCGGTAACAGTCACCCTCATCACTAATAGTCACAGTATACATGGCAGCAAGAATAGCATCAAAGTCAAGGTCAAAGACAGCTACACCCGCCCTAGACAGCTCACCCCAGCGGGGGATCTCAGTGGCCTCAGGGAACTGGTGACGCCAAGCGTCCGTCAGGCGGCCAAAGCAGCGCTGGGTGGAGTGCGCACCCCCGCACTGGTCACCCGCGCGGTCGCCGGTGCGGAGGACGTAGGTGCACGGACCAGTACCCCCACCCCTCTGGCGTGCAGTGTACCACTCACGGAGCTGCTGAGGGGAGGGGATGTCACGAGTGCGCTGCTGCTGCTGGCGCTGACCACCACCGGAGCCGACCCTCTGCGCAGCGCCACCCCGACCAGCTCCACCTCCTCCGCCGCCTCCTCCTCCACCGCCGCCACCTCCGCTCCCACCGCCACCGCCGCCTCCGCCTCCGCCTCCACTGCCGCCACCGACACCTCCACCCCCGCCACCACCCCCACCGCCACCCCCACCCCCTCCACCGCCTCCACCTCCGCCTCCACCGCCCCCGCTAGCTCCTCCAGTGCCCCTGCCCCCCTTGCCCTTGCCCGGGCGGCGTCTCCCGCTAGGGGTAGACGCCGCACCGACCGACTCAAGCCCAACGAGGTCGGCCGCAGCAGCAGAGGCAACAGAGGGCAAAAGGGGGGAGGGGGAACACCCCTCAAAGATGGGGGTGCGAGGGTCACCACGAGAGGCTCCTACAGCGACTATGCTCTTCTCTGCTGCTAGGAGGGACTTCTCGAGGAGGTCAACGGTGAGAGTGGTGGGGCAAACTGAGAGGAAGTGGTCCCTGACTACGCGAAGGGAGTCAGGGAGCCGGGTGACTATGTAGTAGAGGGTGATGTACATGGGGGGGGGGTTCTTGGCGCAGAACTCAGCAGGAAGCGCAGCGCGGTAGCGAGCATCACTAGTGCGGAGGTGCGTAATGAGGTCAGCGACTGTGGGAAAGGCAGCAAGGTCAGGGAAGAGGTACGGTAGCATGAGGCGGCTCAGTGCAGCAGTGGCAGGGGAGGAGTAGCGCGCAACTACAGCGTCGTACAAGGTCTGAGCACTCTTGTACTGGCTAAAGTGCGCACGCTCAGAGGTAGGCAGGTGGCGACGCACAGCAAGACGTGCAGCAGCATCGCGCGTGGCCCACTGTGAGCGAACAGTGGCGTCAGCATCAGCAGCGGGGGCAGGAGAGGCACTAGAAGTGAGGTCAAAGAGGGAGAGGCCGTCTGCCCTGTCGCACTGTAAGAAAAGCTGCAGGTCATCTATCCAGACATCAAAGTCAATGGCCCGACCCTCAGCGTCAAAAGCGAGGACACTAGGGGTAGCCATGACAGTAGTAGACTAGCAGCGCAAACAGTAGGGTGAGGGCAGTGCTGTGAAAGGGGCGCTGCTCTTACCGGACAGGGCGGCTCGGGTGGCTCGGCTGCAGGGCGGCTCGGCGGCTCGGCTGCTGGGCGGCTCGGCGGCTGGGCGGCTCGGTTGCTGGGCGGCTCGGCGGCTCGGCTGCTGGGCGGCTCGGTGGCTCGGCTGCTGGGCGGCTCGGCTGCTGGGCGGTTCGGCGGCTGGGCGGCTCGGCTGCTGGGCGGCTCGGCGGCTCGGCGGCTCGGCCGTTCGGCTGCGACTGCTGCTGCAGAGACGGCGGCGGCTGCTGCCTCAGGGACGGCAGCGGCCGGCCGCTAGGGGCCGCGTCAGGTGCAGGAGAGGGCCGCGTCAGGGGCGGCGTAGGGGCCGCGGCAGGGGCGGCGAAGGGGCCGTGTCAGGGGCCGCGTCAGGGGCCGCGGCAGGGGCCGCGGCAGGGGCCGCGTCAGGGGCCGCGTCAGGGGCCGCGGCAGGGGCCGCGGCAGGGGCCGCGTCAGGGGCCGCGTCAGGGGCCGCGGCAGGGGCCGCGTCAGGGGCCGCGTCAGGGGCGGCGTAGGGGCCGCGTCAGGGGCCGCGTCAGGGGCCTCGTCAGGGGCCGCGGCAGGGGCCGCGTCAGGGGCCGCGGCAGGGGCCGCGTCAGGGGCGGCGTCAGGGGCGGCGTAGGGGCCGCGGTAGTGGCGGCGGAGGGGCCGCGTCAGGGGCCGCGTCAGGGGCCGCCTCAGGGGCAGCTTAGGGGCCGCGTAGGTGCCGCGTCAGGGGCTGCGGCAGGGGCCGCGTCAGGGGCTGCGTAGGGGCCGCGTCAGGGGCTGCGTAGGGGCCGCGTCAGGGGCCGCGTTGGGGCCGCGTCAGGGGCCGCGTTGGGGCCGCGTCAGGGGCCGCGTAGGGGCACGTCAGGGTCGCGTAGGGGCCGCTAGGGGGGGGGCCGCTAAAAAAAGTTAGGGCAGGGGCGCAATGCGCGTCGGGCAGCTAAAAAAAAAAAACTTCGTTATGGTGGGCCCTTAGAAAGGAACGGTCCCATGTAGGAACCCGCTCTATACCATGTGAATGAAGAAAACAGGAATGAAAATGACTAAGGGAAAGTTGGGTACAAATACAAACCCTAGAAAAACTGTACCCCATATGTGCTACCCCACTATAGCCTACAGTAGCTCTGTCATATAAATCTGACAGAAAGGCAGTTGGCACAGCACCGGGAGAAGTTGGCGGAGATGATGGGCAGCGCCGATGAGACCCAAGCCGGTTTTGAACGGGCATTGAGGACCATGAACCGCCTCATGACCCGCGTCGACGATTTGGATAAGCGCGGACGCGATGATGTTGCTACCCCGGTCTAGGAGATGCGCGTGGAGAGGGCGAACACGACCTCGCAAAGGGAGACGGCGGCGCTCACACTTGCACGCGTTGAGGCCGCGGTGGTAGAGTTGAAGTCCATGATATTTTCCCCGATCAACAGTGCCGCGAAGCGGACCCGCGCGGAGGTTTGGCCGAATCTCGTCGGCTTCGAAAACTCTGTTGCGAACGCGGCGTGGCGTGGTGCGAGCGCGGGGGCTATGATACTGAGGACCGTGATGGGGTCCTTTGCGGGTAACTTTGGGCCTACTGCCGGCCTCGAGCAGCCCGCGGGTCGGATTCCCACACTCGGAGCTGGTCCAACGGCTGACACGAGCCTCCCGCTGATCCTATCAGGAGGTGGTGAGTCTGCGCGTTAGGAGAAGCGTACTGTACCACAGGGTGCCGAAGGCGCGGTTGCGATCCCCGCGAAGAGAGCGAAGGCTGCGGGAAAAGAATCCTCTATAATGGTTGCGAGGCCGGCCATTACAGAGGGCAAGAACGAGGGCGCGGTAGAAATTTCAGACGACGGGGATGCGGAGGCGATGGAATCGCGGAAAAGGTTTCTTACGGCCCGGGCGGCGGCGAAAGGTGCTGGTCGTGGGGGTGCAAAGGCGAAGGACCCGAAGGAGCAGCTGTGCTTTGGGACGGGGGCTGAGGAGGGGGGACATAAGAATGTTGCGGCCACACAGACGCAAACAAAAAACCCGGATGGTCGGAGTCTGCTTTACTCCGGAGAACAAAAACCCGTTCTCGGTTGAGCTTCATCATGGTGGGGTTCGCTTCTATCCTGGCTCGTTTGCGCGTGCTGTGCCTGCCCGCTACTTGTCCGCCGTGGCACAGACCGGTGGCACGACCGCGTTCAGAAAGCTGAGTTGGTGCTCAGGGATCAGGAGGAAGCCGAGTGGGCGGATGATCTTGAGCTGGTGCGGAAGATGAACGCGGGCCTATATTCAACTCTTTTCTTGCGAAAATTGACAGGGAACCATAAGAGGTACGACGCGCTAGCGTGTGCAGGGTTTAGTTGAATTCTCGTTCATCCGTTTGGTGCTAACTCTCGAGATTTTTCTATGTGCCGCAAAATGGTCAACATTTTCAAAAAATGTCGCGAACTTGTGGAAGCGGATTCGGACCAAACTGTCCAGTCCGCGCTATGTGCTGCAGCTGGGCTAGAAGTCGTGGACGGTGATGGGAAAGTGAAAGGGAAAGCACTGAAGACGCTTTTCGCGGCCGCGGCCGCGTTCGGGTTTGGTGCTGTGTGGAGTTTGACCGCGGAGTATACCCGCAGCAACACGGCAGGTGGTGCGAGATCGGCCTGGAAAGGAGTCACCGCAGAGGTTCGTGTTGCCGTGGTCAAAAGTTGCTCAGCCGCTGCAAAGCTATGTGGCATGACCGCAGATGACCTGGAGGGTTTGCAGGTGTGCTGGAGAGACGTGTACTCGGTCATCCGGAAACGCCAAGGTGATAAGTTGGAGGCCGCGGCGAGCATCGAGAAGAGGGTGCTGAAGTTGTTTGGGGACGAGCTCGACATGACCGACAAGTTGTCGTGCATCAGCTGATCCAGGTCGTGGTCACCTGGAACTACGATTCATCTGTGTTCCCAGCCACGAAAGGTGTGGGCCTTTACATGGAATGCCCGAAAAAAAAGGGGACGCGTGGGAAGGGCAAAAATGGGGACGCGGGCAAGAAGGATGAGAAGAGCGAGAAGGATGAGAAGAAGGGCGAGGAGGCGGAGCACAGTGATGGGGAAGACAAGGATGACGATACGTTAATGCTGGAGGGATCAGAGGCCGGCAAGGAGTTTGCCTGAGAATACCGCAGGATGTCAGTGGTCCATGCAAATTTTGGTGCTATTTTGTTTTCCGTTGATTTGTTGCTGCTTATCCTAGGGTGTGATGTTTGTTCGTTCGGACACGTGTATAGTGTTTCCGCGTGATTAGGGTTTCGTTGTGGGAAATGCTTATTAGGACTTGTACGACTTGTTGGATTATGTTTGCAAAAAAAACCTTGCAGGCACGGGAAAAGGCGACCATACGCATCCTGAATAAAAAAAAACCTCATGCATACAAACACGCCTGCACGAAAAAATTCGTGAGCTTGGATCGTCACCCTAAACTACTCCTGTCTAAGGCGCTTTTTCGACGTGGCCTCTGCTTTCTCAGCCTCGGCTTTCACGAACTCTTTCCATGCGTTGGGGAATAGTCTCTCTGCCCACTCCTGTGCTTTGAGCCCTTTTTGCACCAGCAACATTGCAGCCCGCAGATGAAGCTTCTTTTGGTCGCTCTTCATGAGATCCGCGAGCGTGCTTTCGCAAACGGGTGCTGATTGCACGGTCAAACCGCTCGTCAGCATTGAGAACGACATGCCTGCGAGTTTCTCGACGACCGCATCCTCCCCTCCGCTGGTCCCTCTAGCCGCGTACTCCGTCACCGCGCCCATCGCCCTTTTCGCACGGTAAATTCGCTGCTTTACAGCTTCCTCGCTGGGCTCCTCCCCGCGTGCAAAATCGCGCGATCCATCCACCATCGGCGGTATACTCCAGCTGCAGTGTTCTCCCTGCGGACCCATGTGGGGTGTTCCACAAGCTCCAAGCACACGTGATGTTCTTTGTTAGGCGCCAAGGTCTGATAATTTCATTCTTGAATGCCTCGTCGTCCGCGGAAAGTAGAGGCGCAGCGCTCTCTTTCCCCTTTTTGTCGTTCTCCTTTTCCTCGGCCGAGGTCTGTGGATCTGCTTCCGCGGGCGTCACATTGATCTGTAAGCCGCCTTCCCCCCGCGGCCGGTGATTTTTCAGCTCCTGTTGAAGCCGCCTGTTCTCGGTCTCAAGAGCCTCGCACCGGGCACGCAGCTTTGCGTTGGCATCCTCCGCGGCTTTAAGCTTGACGAGGTCATTCGCGTGGTCGGACTTTTCTCGGTTGTACATCGTCTGGAGCTGTCTTGCGCGATTTTCTGCGTGGACGCGGAAATTTAGTTCCTGAGCGCACAACACGCAAAGCAAATATAGGAGTGTTAACGAGGTTCTCTAGCACGCAGTCCTTACATGGATCAGACGCTCACAGCTTCGGTACAAGGTGTCGCTGTTGCTCGCAGAGCGCGCCCGACCGCGTCACGCCAAGCGACAACCCGCGCCCAATGTTGAAACTCACGGTCCTCGCATAGTTTCGATGCTAGCACGTATGGATGGTTCGGATTGAGCACTCACATCATCGCCAGATCCTCCGCCACAATAAGGCAACCCCATTTCTACAATGCCTGGAGCAGGTGTATGGCGCCCATGTTACGCCGCCCACGTTCGGTGCATGAATCGTTGTAGTCCCGCGCCTGAAACGACACCGTGAGGAGATGGAAAATCAATTCAAAGCAGGCACGGCAAATTCGTGAAGGGGTCATAGAACTCAAACCCTCTTACCCTTTGTAGTTGATCTTCAATCCACGGAAAAATGTGCTGTTTGATCGTCTCGAAGAGGTTTTTCGAGGGCGGAACCTTGGATCTCCCGATATGATAGTCTTCGTCATCCCCTGTGAACCCAGCTGTTGCGAGCACCGCCCTCCTTGCCACGCCTGTCAGATAGTGGACTGTCATCGGGTCCGTTTTCCAGTTGCCGTGCTTTTGAATTTCGTCGTCGTGAATCCCCATCATGCGGAGAATATTCGCATTAGATGCACGCGGCCCATGTGTGACGCGCGAAATCTCAATTAGCGCCTCTTTGTATGCGTGGACCACCCACTGGTGGTACGTCGCAGCCGAAACTCGTTTCGTGTTGCCCCTTTTCAGCGACCAGAAAAGGTAGGCCCGGTGCCATTGTTTCGGGTCTCCGAAGTTCAGTTCCGGTGGTGGCAGCTGATAGAAGTCGGGAGCCATGTCGTAGAGCCAGTGCAACAGAAGGAGCATGTTTCTAACGGGGCAGAGGTTGTAGTCAATCTGCCGCGTCGAATCGTGGCGTTGGAGACCAAATTTATGGTTTGTCTTTCCGCTTCGGCTGTTGATGGTCATTGCCAAAGCTTCGCGAACACGATCAAGTGCCGACACTGCACCCATTTCTTCGAAAGACAGGTCTGGTAGCTGCGCAGAGCGAATGCTACCCGCGCGGGACAGGGTGTGATGGCACGTGAGCAGAGTGAATTTAGTGAGAAGTGCTCTGTGGAGTTCGCTATTGGCTCCGGGTCGAAGGGTTTCCAGTTGTTCGCAGCATCCGCGGGTAATGTCACTTGCATCATTTGGCGAAACTCGTCCAGAGTATATGTGACATCCTGTCTTCCGCGGTGACGGTCGATGCATTCCCTGGGTCCGAGCACGGAAAACAAGAAATTGTTAGTGTTTTGGCGAAAAGCACGTAAAGCGAGGATGAAGGAATGTTTTCAACAATACTCACTCGACGAATCTCTTGAACTGCTTTGTCAACATGAGACGTTGAAGTACCCGGATCTGTGTCACTTCAGTCACAAGGGCCGGGTCGTCGAAAAGTGCAGCCTCCGCACTGCACAGCGCATTTAGTCGGCAAAGCCGTGACAAAAGCATCGGCATGGTCATCTTTATGCGCTTTCGGATGGGCCTGACAGGGTTTAGGCTGGCGAGCATGTCCGCCTGATCTTGTGTTTCGGTTATGCACTACACGACGAAGACCTTCAGCCGCCACCTTGTGATGCGCGGGCCGTGCAACCAGCAGTCTTCTCTTGGCACTTTCTCCCAATCTTCCCCCTTGTCCATTTTTAATGTGTGCCCCACCTCGCCGTGGAGCTTTAGAAAGGCCTCTGCGGGAAGCTGTCCGTTTTGCCGCAACCTTCTCATTTCGTGGTACCACCATCTCTTGAATTCTCGGATTACAAAGTAATATTGCTCCTGAGTTGCCGGCGACAGGGACGCGAAAACGTCTTGTACAAAATTGATCTTCTCCTGCTGTGTCATCCCTACACGAAGTTTGGTCCAATCCGCGATAAGTCGCCCCCCCCTCAACTTCGAGACACGCGTCTGCTGGCTCGTCCGCTGCCATCTCTGCCCGAACCTCCGCCTCGTCCTTGGGCGAGACATCGTCGTCTAGTCTTCGAAATGCCCGCGGCCTATCACCCTCACCCGCCTCTTGCTCCCATGATGCATCAACTTCAGCTTCCTTGTTGTCTGATTCCGGTTCGTCGTCTTCAGAAACGTCCGAGGTTTCTGGTGGTTGCGCTGTCGGAACGTTCGCACTTGGTTCCGCTGTTGAAACGCCTGCTCGCGGCTCAGCCCGATTTTGCCGTGCATTGACACGCCTTTTCGCACTTGGTTCAGTAGTTGGAACCCCTTCACGCGGCTCAACCCGATTTTGCCGCGCGTTGACACGCCTTCTCGCACTTGGTTCCGCAGTTGGAACCCCTGCACGCGGCTCAGCCCGATTTGGCCGCGCGTTGACACGCCTTCTCCCCCAGGGTTGTTGCGGTGTGACTGTAGTTGGCACAAATCCCACGTTCATCGATTGTCCCGGCACTTGGGCTTCTATGCCCTGCGGTCCTCCAGTAGGATTCGGCACTTGGGCTTCTGTGCCCTGCGGTGCTCCAGTAGGATTCGGCCCGTGGGCTTCTGTGCCCTGCGGTGCTCCAGTAGGATTGATGGTTGCGAACATGCTTGGCGCTCGCGGGCGCGCGTGCGTTGAAACAAAGCAAGGGGAAAAGGGCATCGGTGCTCGATAATGCATAGGCATTCCGGGGGTGGCAGGGTGGAGGTTTGGAGGAGCTCCAAAGAACCTTGGTTAAAACGCATTCGCAGGCAAAAACGAACCCCACGCGAAAGCTGGCGAAAGTCGGAATTGGCAACTGCCATGTATTGCAGCCTGACCAACTGTTGCAATTGCTGCACTGTACAGATCCGCAGCGGGCGGTACGAACTCAGGCAATCCTGGTGGTCGGTTCCCAGGAATTCCCGCGGGTGGGTTCCCAGGAGTACCCGCTGGTGGGTTCCCTGGAACACCCGCGGGTGGGTTCCCAGGAATACCCGCGGGTGGGTTACCAGGAACCCTGACGGGTGGGTTCCCAGGAATACCCGCGGGTGGGTTCCACGGAACATCCGCGGCTGGGTTTCGTGGAATTCCCGCGGGTTGGTTCATAGGAATTCTCGCATATGGGTTCCCAAGACTTCCCGCGGGTTGGTTCCCTGTAGTTCCCGCGGGGGGGGTTCCATGAATTCCAGAGTTCGGGTGCACAAGGTGGATGCCCGCATGTGCTTCCGCGGATACGTTTGGCTGTCACGGGCGATGTGCGTTTGGTGCGCGTGGAGTGCGTGCACCGCGTTCACCCTCCATTGGATGGTGCATGGTTGCGTGGATAGTGGTTCCACGCGGATCAGACTATCAAAACGGTGGAGCAAGGATTACGGATGTGTCAGGTCTCCAGATTTTTGGGAAGTGTCAAACATATATGATTTAGTCTGTATAGGCTGTAGTGGGGTAGTTCATATAGGGTACAACACTTTTAGGTTTCCTACTTGTACCCACCTGCTTGCAAATTCAGTCATTCCTTTGTTCACTATTCTGACATGGTATTCAGAGCAGGTTCCCTCGTGGGAACGTTTTTTTTTAGGGCCCACCACATTTTATTTTTCCTGCCCTGCCGGAAGCGCGCCTCGCGCCTGCCTCACCTGCGCCGTCGCGCGCCCTGCCTTAGAGCCGCCCGTCGCGGCCCTGCCTTCTCGGCCCCTCGCGGCCCTGCCCTAACGGCCCGTCGCGACCCTACCCTAACGGCCCATCGCGGCCCTCTACCCTAACGGCCCGTCGCGGCCCCCTGCCCTCTCGGCCCGTCGCGGCCCTCCCCTGCCGCCACCCGCGGCCTCTGCCCTGCCGC